GTATGATGATGGTATGATGGTTTGGTTTTCTGGTGATCATAGAAAAAAGTGGTGGATTCTTGTTGTACTTCTTTGTAAGCAAAGGAGGTCAGAACTGTGATACTTTTCTTATCTTTCATTTGACTCATTCGACTCACCGATATGCGTCAACTCCCCTGTCGGTCGGCATCAACGGTTTTCTCATACTTTCGCAATAGTACATACCGGTAGGGTCTTCAGCCGCATTTCGTGGCGATTGCCGAACGCTTTTTCGGGTTTTTCCGTGGAACAGAGCCCGCGTTTTGTTTCGCCACGGTACAGAGAAACGGGTTCTGATTGTTTCCACGCTGGGCTCCGGGAAAAGAATCACCACGACGCAACGCAACGCAACGGAACGGAGTTTCGTGCGACTTGATGCGGTGGGATGCCACCCAACTCGCTTTCGAGAGGCTTCCCTCTGGGCCCGCGCCGCGTGTCCAACCGCCGATTGTCCGGAGCCGATCCACCGCGGTKGTTGGCGAAGGGCATCTCTGTTCTCGTCGCCGGCGTTCGATCCACACCGYATTGCATTCGATGCCAGCAGCGTGGCAYGGTGGGGGATGGGACGGAGCAAGCGGAGACTTCTAGCGTGCTGGTTCGCAACTCCGCACGGCAACCACGGCAACCACGGCAAGGACTGCAAGAACGCCTCGAGCGATGGATTCGGTGCCTCTGTCTCCTCCCATTTTCGCGAGGAGACAAACGCCACGCAACCCCACGCCACGCAACACAGCAACACAGCAACACCCAACAAACACCCAACCCCATCGACCAACCATGGTGCGTTTCGCTCGATTTCTCCCGGCTCTCTCCACCTTGTTGGCTTCTTGGAGCGTGCTGCTCGCGGCAGCCCCGTTCCCGGTGGTCGTTTCCGCGGCCGCCCCCAGAGTCTCCGTTGCCCTCGACATCAACGGCGCCTTGGATGCGAGAGAAGCCCGGGACGGCTATTCCAGCGAGTTTGGCCTGGTCCGCAGCCACCGGATCCGCGGGCACGGAGACCACCGCAACACCAGGCACGAGAACGAGAACGAGAACGACGCCCGGGGCGTAGCGATCGTGGCCGGGAAGAACCGAGCCCGGCACCTCCGACAACAGCAGCAGCAGAAGCAGCAACATCAGCAGCAGCAGCAGCATCAACAGCAGCATCAAGAACAACGACAACGACGACGACGACGCCTCGCGCAGGAGAAGAAAAAGGCAAGGAGGGACGCCGGCGGCGGCGAGCCGAGCGACGGGTCGAGCGGTGGTTCGTCTGTTTCCCCGCCCCCCTCCGGCAAGCCGAGCCCCTCGGGCAGCGGTGGCAACAGCACCCATGCTCCCACCGCCTCCCGGTCCCCCTCGGTTCCTCCCACCGCCACCCAGGCCCCCACGGGGGTTCCGAACCAATCCCCCCTTCCGACCTCTTCTCCAACGGCAACCACGAGCGACCGGAAGGGCCCCTCGAACCGGGCAAAGATCCCGGAGGTGCGGGGGCTCGACCCCCTCGGGGTCGTCCTCGCGGCCCTGCTGGGAGCGGCCGTCTTGCTCGGGGCCGCGGTCAGGTGCTGGTGCGGCTTCCGAGAGGCGCACAAGCGCCGGCAGAGGCAGCGGGGAGGGACGGCCCCTGCCGGTTCCGCGTCTGCTTCCGTCGACGCCGCCCGGGGCCCGGACGGCCCCGGGACGACGAACTACGAAGCGCTGGTGGCCTAGCGCCGCGCCGTCTCGGGGAAGCCCAGGGGAGGGAAGGAAAGGAACGAACCAACACGAAGCCATCGCTGCAATCCAGTGCCGCAAGTGCCGCGCCACCGCCTAGAAGTACCAAGTATGGTACAAAGTATTCCGTCGCGGCAACGAGAGACACCTATGATGTTCATGTACAGCAGATTCGTCACTGCTTTCCTCCTTTGTGGACAAACACAACCAGAGTAAAACGTACACTAAACATGCTAGAAAGTCTCGTCGTATAGTTGCACAATCGTTCTATGTTTGTTATCATTCGTACTTTTTTCGTTTTCCGTGGCCAGCGGCCAATGCCCAGTGCTGCACGGGTGTTCCAGCGCTCAGTTCCAGGTCGGCGCGGGCCCGAACGGAAGGCTGTTYCCGGGCGTGTAGTCCCGGTCGACACCCGAGGCGTCGATGGCCACCGTTCGGACGACGCCCCCGGAGGACCCGTCCCTCGCCATGGCGTGGCTGCAGGCCTTCTTCGCAAGGGCCCTCGCCTCGTCCCTGGTCATCCCGGTGCGGTATTCGGCGTCCAGGAGCCCGGCGATGAAGACGGACCCGGACCCGCCGGTCGCAAAGGGGAGCTTGAGGCAGGATCCCCCCAGGGTGATGGTGTAGACCGAGCCCCCGTCGACGGGATCCCAGCCCGCGACAATGACACCGGCCATCAGCCGGTCCTTGTTGTTGTAAATGAGGCGGCGCATCAGGTGGGCGGCCGTCTTGACCGTGGGTTGGCGGCCCGTGTCGAGGCTGTGGATGTCGCGGGGCAGTGTGTGTTAATTCGTTGGGTGGTCGAGTCGGAACGCCGCGAGTTGGAACGACGCAAAGAAGAAAAAGCCGGTGGTTTGGTATTGTTGTTGGTTCGTGTTTCATGGGTTGTTGTGTGGTATTGTGGTATTGTGGTTTTGTATTGTATTGTTTTGTGGTGCCGGCCATTCAAGGATCAAGGATCGATTTCCGTGAGAATCCAAGAAGAGTGGCAACAGATATCAGGCAAGGCAGAAATGGCAACAAGAGGAAAAAAGTTGGTGAGAAGAATGCCAAACGGAAACCGAACCGAAGGATCATGCACGGAAGGCACTCTTTCGATTGCGGGAATCCACCCTCCGGCCTTCCCTCGATCATTCGCTTTCGGAAAAGGCAGCATCCGGCGCGGCCCAGCAAACACGCATCCCCAACACACCACACAAAAACGCCCTGGACCAAACGACAAAAACCGCGGACTTGCCTCCATTGGTTGAGATAGTAGTGGACGTAGTCCGTCAGCGTCTGCGTGTCGGCGGCGGATCCGCTGCGGCAGACGTAGATCTGTTCCGAGATCTGCACCAGCTTGTCCGAGACGCGGTTGGCCACGTAGGTCCCGGTGGAGGTCCGGGAATCGGCGCAGACGACGATGCCCCCGTCGTAGGGGAGCGCCAGGATGGTCGTTCCGGTCGAGACCTCCCCGGGCTTGAGGTGGCGCCCGTAGCTGGTCCCGTTCTGTTCGTTGATGATTTGAAGGTCGGTCATGGTTTCGATTCGAATGCTATTGTTGCTGTTGCTGTTGTTGTTGTTGTTGTTGTTGTTGTTGTGTTCTTTTGTCCAAGCTGTGTCTCGTATTGCTGGTTCGGTTTGTTGCGTTTGATGCGTTTGTTGCGGGACGAATCTATCGATTTCAATATCAAGGCAATTGGTTCTTGGTTGATTTGCTGTCTAGTGTGGTGTGTATTACCGTAGGCTAGATGCGAGTCGTTACTATCGATATCCTTTGGAGTGTTGTCCTTGTTGTCCTTGTTGTCTTAGTAACCTTTCATCAGGCTTTGGATCGATCGATGCTTTTGATGCACGACATGATCCTCCTCATTCTTACTGTTTTTCACGCGTTGCTTTGGTTCGACCGCCTTCGACGGATTTCGAAAAAATAGCGCTAAGAAAGTACCGGTACTCCTAGTCTTTTTCTCTTTTGGCACTACGGTACGGCACGGTACGAATGCATGTACGTTCTGATAGTGCGAGAACTGTATTTGTGCTAGAACTACCAACTACCACGTTATGTACGTACGTCCTGGTACCGGTACAACTAGTGAACATATTTTTGGAGAGAGTCAGACGAGTCGAGTCAGTCGGTCCAAGTCACGTTCCAACCTCCTATAGTCCCCGAAGTTGTTCTTCGTTTAACGAACGAGATCATGTCCTGCATCGTCCCATTCTTGTGCCGGATCGATAAATAAACTTGCTTCAGAATTTTGCAAAGCCGTACGGTACTCCCTGTCCATTCTCCGACTGTTCAAAATTTCAAAAGAGATCGTGGTAATACCGCACACGATGCAACAGAAACACGATGCGGTGATTCTTCCCGCCGTGTCCGGTGTGATGCGATGCGGTGCGGTTCGGTGGGAATGGAATCGCTGCGTGCGGATCGAGATGGAATTGTTTCTTTACAAGTTTTTCTTTGAACCGTRGTACGAAGCGCACCGCACCGGCTTATCGGAACAACTCCCCGCGGTTCGGTCGTGGGACGAGGGACGCGTTCCCGGTTTGTTTCACGGACCCGGTGTTCCGTACTCCAAAGGGAAACCCGCGAGAGAAGGATGGCATGTTCACGCTCCACCTCTCCTCTCTGAACGGCCGGGGGATGAGCAAGGAACCGTGCGAAACTCCTGCTGGACAGGGAAGTCCACGGCCAGCGATCGAGACAAACCGAGAAGGGAACCAGCGAATCATCGAAACACGCAGCGATGAGCCCCCGGGTTGCGGTCGTTGTTCAAAGCACCTATCGTGTGCCTTCTGTTCGAGAAACCACACTCTGCGGGACCAACATGCAACGCCACGGTGCAAATTCTGCTTTTCTCATCGCGCGGCAAGAGTACTAGTGTTCATGACGATAACGAGCAATCTTTCTTCCSTCCTCAATCGCWCAAAAAATTCTGCCCTGGTTTTGTTATCCTTGCATTCGTTCCTGCACACCTCCTGGCGCCTGTTTATTGTTCTTCTACTCTCGGCTCAATGAACAACCAAGATAGCAGCGACGAAGCCTTCATCGAGAAGTGGATCGCTAGGGTATCGCGATCGCGATATCTTTTTYCTTCAGAATTGGAATTTGCGCCTGAAAGAGCGAAGAACAATCTGCACGTTGTCACTGCTGCAGTAAAAATAGATGGCTATGCATTGCAATATGCATCTGAGGGAATGAAGAACAATCTGCAAGTTGT